AGTACTAAAAAAACCGACCTCAAAAGTACGCGGAATTACATATAAGTACCACGTTTTATTGAAATCCGTTACTGGAAAGTGCGCAAACCCGGATTCATACTCTAGTTCGCCACTATACGAGACTAAACACAGGAGATAATAATAATCGGTTCTCACGTGTTACATTTCTCAATGTGTTAAATTTGAATTACCTAACGTAAAATCGACTAGTCCAAGCATAGAAATAAACGGAGAAAAGTTAGACCTTGTTAATAAAGCAGTCTTCTTGGGAGTGACCTTAGATAGTAAACTTCAATGGTTTCCACATATAGCTTCCCTGGCCAGCAGATTAAGCTCCGCTGCATACGCAGTCCGCAGAATATGTGAGCTTACCGATGTTAGTACTGCTAGACTAGTTTACTTTAGTTACTTCCATAGTATTATGTCCTACGGGATTCTCATGTGGGGTAAAGCAGCAGATATTCAAACCATGTTTATATGCAAAATCGAGCGATTCGTTCTGTGTACCGTCTAGGCTCTCGGGTTTCTCTCAGAGAAAAGTTTAAGGAGACGAGAGAGAGAAGGAGTGATATCATGACTGTGGCATCACAGTACATTTACTCAAATATTTTATATGCCCGTAAAAATATACATAACTTCAATAAGGAACAAGATATCCATAATATTAACCTTAGAGCTAAGTCCAAACTCATGGTACCACGCCCAAGGAGCACACTTTATACGCCTTGTAACTATTATATATATCTATAAACACTCTTAATATGGTATAGATTTAGATAATAGTTCTTTAAAAATGGTTTTAGAAAAAAGAAATTGTTCTTATAGACTTATTTCACTCAAGTCAAAATTTTAAAACCGTCTTAATACCAAACAACTTAATTAAGTGTAATCTCTCTTAAGATTTACTCTTATAGTCCTTATTTTAAGTTCATCTGTTGAAGAACTGATTGTTTTTAGTAAAATTGTTCTATACACATCCAGTAAAGTCTATTAATACTCTAAAAATTAGTGTTCTTAAATTTATTCTAGATATATTTAATTTATAGACATTCTATAGTGTTTGTACTAAGGACAAACACGTTATAGCGCATTTTCAGTAGATTTTATTTTAAAAAACACTACAATTAGGGTTTTTACTCTACTGGACGTTGTAAGAGTTCATGCAAAATGGATAAAGTAAAAAATATTATAATCTCAGTACAGACTACTAAGAAAACCGACCTAAAAAGTAAGTGGAATTACGTCTATTTGCCAAGTTTTATTGAAATATCCTCTAGTTCGCCACTATACAGGACTTGACACGGGAGATAATAAAAATCGGTTCTCACTACTCAAAGTATATTAAGAAAAAAACGCCTTGAAACGGAGAAATACCAAAATCAACCATTAAAATAATTGCTCCTAAATTAAAGTTTAGACGCTATTTATAAAAATGAATCTTCATGCGTGAACAGCCACCCTTAGAGGTGGCTGATTTTCTTCAAAATGAAATGGGACCACTATGGAAGTACCCCCTTTCCAACAAAAAAAGAATCATGAAAATCGGTTCACAAATACCGGAGTTATCGCGTAACGTACATGCAAAAAAAACAACCAGTCGAATTGAGAACCACCTCCTTTTTTTGAAATCGGTTAAAAACGTCATTGATTGGAATCAGATATACTAAATCTATGACTAGAATAGACGTGGTTTTGTTTTGTTTGAATTTATAGTGAAAGATCTTATAATGCAATTTATAACAGTCACTGGAGTCTTATTTCTTTGTCTAATATGAAAACCTTACATGTCCAAAACAGTTGTAGTGCAGTTTAGAGTTTAAAATCGTAAACGAGATATAAGTCGAAAAATCCTATGTGCCAGTAATTTCACAAGCACCCTTACAGCGGCAGGAATAGGTAAGGTGGCAGTACTTCCCTGGACGAACACTTTCACAAGGACCTTTATAGCTACTATTACATATTTACCACTATCTTCGCACTAACCAAGCCTGTATCATCGACACATAAATGACACAAACGTTAGCACCAAAACACCGTTGAATATAATGTATTTCAACTAAACCAAGCAACCAGGTTTTGCAATGTTATTTATGCTTTCATTCTGTTCCCGATATCCAATACCCTTCGGTAAATACCCCGGGACAATACAGCGTGACATTAACGCGAGTAAATACCAACCGAATACATAGCTACATGATGCAAAATATATTGCTAAATGCCGCACATTGTTCGGGTGCGCGATCCGTAGGCTAATGGAGCCAGCACAACATTTTTTTACATTCTTGATTTGTTTGCGAGTTTTCTTAGCCTTCAAGAAACTCGTGTAAGTGTCGATATCCGCACATGGAACTAATTACTGTCGTAACCCAAAAATGGTGGAATTGAGAAAACATGATTTGAAAATGAAACAATTTGTAACTTTTTTATAACAAAAAACCAACCTTAAAAGTTCTATTGAAATCTTCTATTCTATTGAAGTTTTATTGAAATCTGGTTTTCACAATTCCATCTTTTTTCAGTGACGACAGTATTTAGTTTCATTTGTAATATTGTGGTGTTAACTTTGGTCTCTTTTAGTTCAAACCAGTGTACTCTGTTCATTTATTCACTTCTTGTAACTAACGTTTTCAGGAAATGACCTTTAAGCGGTTGGACAAATGTTTAATCAATACATTGTCGAAGAAGAGACACAACCCTTAAGAAACATGTTAAGTCCCTTTCTTATTCTTATCGTATCGATGGCATGCATTATAATGTGTGACATCGTGGTGTAAGCATTTGCCAATCGGTATAAAATACTCGCCGATTGTTGTCCAGGTTACGACAGACGTACAAAAATACCCCCGTGAAATCCCCCACCAAATTGGGTCAGCACAACTGACTCTAAAGAACACACGTGTGCAAAACTAGGACTTCAAATGAATTGATGATAATTACGTAAACACGTAAGTAATTCTCAAATTACTTATGTAACGCCATTTTCTACACTACGCCAGTATTTGTTAAGGCTAAGGCCAAAACGACAAGAGACACGATTTCACGGACATCCTAAGGGCATCCAAAAAACCGAACGCCACTCGAAAATACCCGAGCGATTCTCAAGGTGATAAGGTTACAAACATTTACGACTGAAGCATTTACGAGCGATTTAGAAAATGTCGACTGAACGACGGTAATTTTGAGAATAATGAACGCTGTTTTAAAGAATGTATGCGTTTTTTTCATCAGCTTCTGTGATATTCTGCAACGACGTAAACCATTTTCTGCATTACCTGATTAGGAGAGTAACAGCATTTGCGCACTACGTATCAGTTCCGAATCCATGATCGGAAATGTCACAGGGATAATTTTATCCCTAGGTGTACAAGCGATATTTATATTTTTTCGGATTCTATTTACAAAGCGAATTATCTCTAAGGTTGCAAAGTTTCTTAGACGCATAAAGTGTAATGCAGTCTGTTTGTCAAGACCAAAAAGCATCCATATATTAAGTGGTGCGTATGTTCATGTAATTGGAAATATGCCTACGAAGTTTGTTGTTATTATTGGTACAAAGATCGAACGAACACAAAGAAAGATGCCGTCGATTCGACTGGATTCGAAACAGCGATCTCTCTATACAGGGGCTATCGTACTCCCAACTGAGCTGAGAGAAGGAGGAGCCTTACAAATTTTGTAGCAGTTGAACTCCTTGTGAAAGAATTTGTCCAGGGAAGAACTGCCAGCTTATCTATTTCTGCTGCCAAGTGTGCATTACTGCGTTCCGGTTTGGAAGGGTAAGGGTGCTGGTGAAATTATAGGTAAATGGGACTTGTCAACTTATGACTCAGGGTGACGAGCACAGTGACAGTGCCCCTAAGATCTTTGCAATTAAAAGCTCTAAGTGGCACTGCCGCTGGTTATGGACAGGTGTGTCGTTTACCATCAGGCGCACGTCGTGTTTGCCCCGTCCCTTGGTATTATAAAAGAAAATCTCTATATGCTTGTTGTAGAATTTTGTTTTTGCTTTTCTTCATACAGCCAGGTACATAATAAAACATCGTAATATTGAACAAAATCAATACATACAATATTGCCTCCCAAATTTGGAATCCAAGATACCAAGTTTATGTTAACAGAATAGAACTAGTTCAAAGTAAATTTATTAATGTTTTGTGCTATAATATGGGTATATTTTATAATACATCCGAGCATCCTCGTCATCGTTGGAATCAGTAACTTTACCACCAAAGAGTAGAGGAATTATATATAAGTATATAAGTGGTATAATTCCTCTAGTATTTGGGATTTGTCGTTGTTAAGACTTCTTAACAACGACACTGTCGACGTTGATAAATGTTACGCGCCCGTGATTATGTTTAAATGCATCGATCGCGTCTTCTCGTGTATTCGTCTCGAATATTCATTGCCTTGTAAACACAAGGCAACGAATATTTGGCACTTGCTCAGCATTTGATTTGTTGAGCTTGTACCTCCTGTCAAACTCGTTACATAAATGAATTACATATGATAGTCGTCATGGTAAGTGGTTTGCTCCCCAGTTTCGTGGTGTCTCCATCTCTGACGTCCCGAGTGCTATCCGTTCTATCCCAGCCGAATCAATGTACAAAAACTTTTCTGTATTGTCTCTGACCTGAGTCTTTGTAGTACCGTCGTTGTTTCCGATTTTCGTAAGACACTTTAGCTACTTACTTTGGAACCAGAGCCACGTATATGACGTTGTCTAATATATAAAAAATATGGTAGACTTACAGAGATTACTGGAGAATGTTTAGTTTTAAAAGCATTAAGCAATCATACCTGATGATACGAACTCTGGAAACATGGCACATACTCAGTTAGTAAAGTGAGGGATATTCACACTATCACACTAATTTCCTGGTCTCAAATTAGGCCATATATCAAGAATACCCAGACCTGAAAAAAATTTAGAAAAGTTCTTTTTCCAAATTAATCCCACCGGGAATCAGACTCGAGACTTTCTCGTGCTGGGCAAACCACTATCGAGGCCACCGAGGTCGTAAATGGACGATTTGACCCAGCATTTTTTGGAAATAAAAAAATTCACACTTACCAAGCATGTTAAATCCGTTAATGCCGAAAAGTGCCGCGTCGCCCTGGCCTCCCGGGAACACGTAGAGCGTGGGGTGGCTAAAACGGATATTGCCGACCACATCGCTCGACACCAGGAGTTGCTCCAGGCTGGCGGGCACGATGTACGGCTCTAGGTAAGCTGAAAACAATGAACAAGTTTTAAGGTGAGAATCTACATTTCAGGATGTATTCTTAACTGACTTGAAAAAAGGAGAAGGCTTTCAATTCGTCTGTATTTTTTGTTTGAGATAGAGAGAGATTTGTGTACGCGCAACTTTGTGTAACGCGATTTTTTAAGTTTTTTAAGTTTTAAGTTGGAAAGGGAATACTACAGCAGTGGTTCTGTTAAAAATTGAAGAAAGTTTTTCACCTCTTATTGAATTTCACGTACTTTCCGTTAACCGATTTTAATAAAACTTGTCAATTAAAATAAAACAGCGAAACCGGATAAGCAAACTTTTGACGGCGGTTTATTTTTTCATAAAAAAGTTATAATTATGGTTATTATCTGAAATTAGATATAATATCTAAATAGTTCTTTTATAACCCTTATACATTACATGTATGAACTAAAGATACAACATCAAAAACTCGGTAAAGATATTCGAAGAAGAAAATAAAAGAATAAATTAAAAAGCAGTAAATGTATAACATTCGCAATTGGAATGATTAATGTTGGTTGTAGAACTGTGCCCTGTGGCAATCCATTAAAAGTTTCTGGAGTATTCAGTATTTACGATTTTATATAACAACGTTTTAAATCACAGAGCAAATGATAAAACAATTCAAAGTAAAGCCGTTGCTAGGGTTCAGGACCGTACCTTGGGGTGTACTTTTGAATTTGACTGGAATGCATTTCCATTTTACTGCTGTAGGTGAGAGGTAACTTTTGATGCCAAATATTAATATTTACTACAGAGCGTTTTAAAGAGAATGCAGCTCTTAATTAAGCATTTAAAATCAATCATCATCATCATCACATCAGCCGGAAGACGTCCACTACTGAACATAGCTCCCCCAAAGATTTTCAGACTAGCCGGTCGAACGCGACGTGTTTCCATCGTTTAGCCGCCGCCCTTACCAGGGGATCTAGTCCCGTTCTCCAGCTGACATTCGTCCGAAACCATAGTGTCCAATGAGTAATACCCGACTGAATCAAAAGATAATGTCAAGTATAAAGCTTCATTCGCATCATACGTCTTTTAATTGGGTTGAGTATTACATATAATAACAGTATACTGTAATTGTTTCGGTCGGATGACCAGACCTCCCTACAGGGGGTCGTCCTATTGAACACCTTCCGGTTCGTGACTTCCATTCGAGAACGATTCTGCCCCTACTTCCGCCAGTTCTACGAGCTATGTGCCCTGCTCACTGCCACTTCACCTTGCTAATCCTTTGAACTATGTTGGAGACTTTCGTTCTTCTAGACGAAACTTCTCGGTAAAGAGCTTTCAGTTTCCCTTGTTGAAACCTGTTAAACTACTTATAGTTTGTAATAGTTAAAATAATGAAATAGGCTTCGAGTTTTAGAGCTATATGAGGATAGTATCAATTTTGACCAAGTCGAGTGGTTTGCAAACCGGTTTTTATGATGTCGCTATCTCTGAAGTCCCGTATTCGATTCCCAACAGGAACAACGTAGAAAAACTTACTTTTCCATATAGTCTCGGGGATGGGTGTTTGTGGTACCGTCGATGTTTCCAATTCCTTTAGTTACTTACTTCGGAATCAGAGCAACGAATGTGATATTTTCTAATATTTATTCATCACCATCATATCAGCCGGAGGACGTCCACTGCTCAACACATGCCTCCCCTAAATATTTACAGACTAGTCGATCGAACGCGGCGTGCGTCCACCGGTTACCAGCCGTCATTACCAGGTCATCCGTCCATCTAATGGGTCCCATTGAACACCTTCCGGTTCGTGGTCTCCATTAGAGAACTTTCTACCTCAACGACGGTCAGGTTTTCTACGGATCTCCTCATCTCTGGTTCGATCACGCAGAGAAACGTCGATCATCGCTCGCTCCATAGCTCGTTGAGTGAGAATGAGCTTTTTTATGAGGCCCATAGTAAGCGACCACGTCTTAGAGCCGTAGGTCATCGCTTAAAATCAATGTTAAGGTAAAATAAAATATGTTAAATAAAAACCAAACGGCGACAAAACTTACTGTCTTTTACCATTGCTTGATTATAAATTTTAAAATATGGAGTTAAGCTTTTTTATTCTGTACTTACAGACAATATACAAGATCATTGCCTAGAGAGTTGTCGTTTATTTTGACGTAATAAAAGACAGAGTAACAAACAAGTTTTTGTCCTTAATTATTGTCAAATTTAAGTATTTATGTACGAAGTTTCGTTAGAAAATTTACTCGAAGTTGTGAAAGTAATAATTGAAGCTTTAAGTAGAAAAGACACGAAACGGATGTAGGCTTTAGAAATTTAAGTAGATGAATATTCGGAGAAATAAATTTCCAATTAGAACCCAATTAAATATTAATTTTGTAACTAGTGTCTAATAATAATAACTATAATTTATTTATATTCTAGAATTATTCCTCAAAAACCTTTCGCAGATTTTAATAATTTTTTTGACAATTAATGTGTTTTAAGGCACTTGGTAAATAAATTTACCGCCTTTGGGATGAAATTTCTTTAAGGATTCTATTAAAGATTTTAATAGCCTTTACAGACGGTCTGTACATTTGTAATTTCGAACTAGGTAGTGCCAATCTATTTTTATGTCTGAGGTTTAACGGTTTAGTTTATTTTGCTTTAGCGAAGAAATGTTTATCTTTTAGTCCTTAGGCCTTGAACATACTGCTACTTAGCCGCCTACATGAGAAGCTATGACATTCAACCCCTCTTACCTGCCACGGGGATAAAATTTTATTTATTCAATTTAGTCCTAATTTTAATTTTGAAGCTTTTAATATATTTTTTATACCTTGCTTCACTAAAACATTAACAGTACGAGCACATTAAAGAACTTTTATAAGCTTTGAACATGGAGCATTAAGAATGCTTCTATTCAATGCCGTCTTGAAGAGGGCATTAAATAGAAGCGGTTAAAGTTTCTTTGAAAAGAAGAACTAACTAAATGGTTTTATCTAAAGGAATGCATTTGTGAATAGGTTTGCACATTGCAACGGACATGTTTTCTTTATTTTGTATGCTTGTCAAGAGAGTTTGATTAAACGGAATATTGTATGGAATTGTAGCACTGCTTTAAGAAAGGTCCTTGTGTTGAATAATTACTGTGATAAGTTTTGCTGGTTAATAATTTAGTTAAATAGGAGGCAAACGAAGAGACGAACCACTTAATCTGCAACCAGTTTTTGAGACACCTGTTGGCTACTTTTCCAAGAACCTCATGTCATAACACAAAGGAAATACTTCAGGAAGGAGATAATCCTCATCTTGCAAGTTCGAGGAAGGAACGAACGTGACGCCCGCGTGGGTTTTACTAGGCGTCATCGTGGTGGGGATGGGCTCTACTCCCTTTGCGGGAGGTGCGATGGTGAAAACGTGATGGTGGCACCAGTTCGAAAAGCTTGACAGACATAATTGTGTGACAGATGATGTAGTAACTAGGGTAAAAAAGTCAATATTTCAATGATTTGGTCATATGAAAATAATGGATGTTGATGCAATAAGAACGCCAATTTATAATGTGAATTTGGATGGAAATGTGAAGAGAGATGGACTTCGGTGTATGCGTCTGAACTAAAAAACCAAATCCAAAAATAAACTGACGAGTGCAAAAAAGCTATATGTGGAGAGGAAGTGGACTATACTTATTGGGTATTCACAACTTTTCACCTGTGTTTCACAAATAAATTTTATGAGATATCAAGTGATGGGACGGACAAGTCGTACGCCTGGTGTTAAGTGACACGCATGTCCATAGTTGTTGCAGTGCCACCCAGAGCTTTAAATGGCAAAGATGTGAGGGACACTGCCAATGCGCCTGTCACCCTGAGATATAAGTTGACAAGTTTCATGTGCCCAAAAGCTTCACATCACAGAAGTAGGTAAAGTGGCAGTACTTCCCAGGACGAACTCGTTTACAAGGAGCTCTACTGCTGCTAAAATGAATTATGAAAGCGAAAAACATAGCATGTCTATAGTCTCTGTCAATGCTAGTGGGAAACATATATTTTATAGGATATATCACGGAGAGTGTGCGATGAAATCTCACGGTTTAATTCCGCCTTACCCTTTCCATCACCGGGGGACAAGGCGTAGGCTTGGGTTCCACCCGTATGTTGTGGATATTCCAAAGATTCGCACGAAGCGTTATGTATCCACATATATATGGCGAACGGCTATGGAGTGAAATTCCCTGCCTGCAGACTTGTTTCGTGAGCGTTACAACTTGGGCCTTTTCAAGGCGAGAGTGGATAGGCATTTTTTAGGTGTGCATGCTCCATCGTCGACCTCATCGTTCACGTTCCATCAGGTGAGACAGAGGTCAATTTTTTTTATAAAAGGCCGTAAGAGACACGTTGAAGAATTTACCCTCATCAATGACTCTTACAGCCAAGAATTAAATAAAAAATGTTCGTGAATTTATAATAGGCTTATTCACGCTATTATTTTTACTTTCCATGTCACTTACACAAAATGTCTGTATTGTCTATGTGAGTTCGTTTATAAATAAAGCATTGACTGCATTCATTTTATATGACAACCTTGCCAATGATCATAGTGTCACGGATTCGCTCTGGACCTTTTGGAGGGAAAAGTGTAGTTTTTATTTTGACTTTCAATTATTTTGTGAAATCTAGTTTAAAATGGAATAGGATAGTGCTATGGTGCCTTAATCGAAGATTAAAACGCGAAATTATACGAATCTCGAACTAAAATACCCGTATCGGCCCGTTCTAAGTTTCTCTAATCCCGAGTCAATCCAAACACGCCGCCTCAAATTGCCTATCCTCTTCGTGGCGGCCATATTTACAGAAAAACTTATTTTTATGTTTTTGGCTGAAGGACTTTGTTTCCATGGCCAGAAATAAATTAATAAAAAAAAAATCATAGTGTCACATAAACTATGTTAGATGGCTAAATAAATTGAACACAACCACGAACGATGAACGGCAGCAGCGCCACCCCCTCTCTGACTTCA